TGAAATCGAACAAATAAGAAGAAATACTCACTGGTGCAAATAAGCCCAGACCGTGTCTTTTTCAGGACATGCTGACCAGGCTTTGTTGCTAGAAGACTTACCAACATTCACTCGGTATGTCTCGGTCATGCCAGGGCCGGCACCGAATCTTTTCAAGAAATCATGGAAGACGTCTGTACATTCTTCCTTGACCTCCGGGTAGCCAAAAGTGACAGAGGGGACAACTTAAAGCAGTCCAACTGGGTGGTGCTGCCTCTAGCGAAGGAATGGATGTGATGCCGTGCAACATCTTTGGCAGGACCTCGGAGAAGTGCTTTCGAGAGCTGAGCACTTCTCCGACATTCTGGGGACCAGGCATTTTGGCAGGCGAGAGCACTACAAGAGGCCGGCCTGATCAGAACTGCGTGAAAATCACTCCGACATAGTTCCCCTCGACCGGAATCGCAGTCAAGGAACAGCTCGGACAACAAGCCCTTCAAGCATGTCGCATAGATATCCCGAACCTGAGCTTTGCAAGGCGAGGATTTCCACAAGTCATCTGCTTTCGAGCGCACTCCCCGCCTCAGCCTTGCCATCCAGAACTTGCTGGCTAAGTTTCGCCAGCACCTGTGGGCAGCTGGAGATTCGACACAAAGAGCACAAGATTGACATGGCTGTGGCGGCAGTTGCCTCTCCGATCTGCTGCTCCTGGAACTTGCACACTATCTTGGCCAGGCACTTCACCTTGCACAGGGTTTAAAGACATACCGATCTGATGAAGCCACGATTGGAAATGATGTCCAGGCACGGCATTTCCCTGCACGTCGATGCTCTGGTCCTGGCCACAACATAAGTGCGCCGACGGGTTTCGACTGCATCTTGGAATAGCTGCGGGAGCCTCCAGCTGCTTGACAAAAGCTTGACATACTCTCTTCTGGAGATGCACGTCCAGCACCTTGTCAGAGCACACGGAATACTGCAGGAATGAAGTCTGGTGTCGACAGATCCCGAGAGCCAAGCGGTCGTGCTTTGCACAATCCCAAACAATAACGCTGAGCGTTAACACCCGTGTTACATGCCACGGCATTGCACTAAGGCCTTCAGCAATCCTGATCTGATGGGAAATTGCCTCTAGGGACTTGAAACAGCAAGGAAACCCGTAGACGCAGGGCCTGGCCCAGTTGCAGCTGTATCCGTTAGGCAGTAGCAACACGAAGAGCAAGGAAATCATAAAGACATGCAAGTCGCCGAGCGGTCTTCTTCACGGCATGATCAGGTCCAGTTTCTAGGTTCGTCCCAGACCCGGCCTGATTGGACATAGTCACCTCCTGTGTCAAGTCTGAGGCGGCCATGAACCGCTTGTCCTGCAGTGGATCCACAAGGAAATCTTGTCTTTTCTTGGCAAAGGCCTTCGATGGCCTTGTCCCAGTTTTCCATGTCTTCGAGCAGCTGCGACACGCTGGCCGGATTCATTGCCATGCTGGGCCTTTCAAAGCTCCGGATAATCTCTGAACAAGGAGGTGCCTGCAGCCTCCACAAGCGAGGCCCAAGCGACGCACGCCGCGCCGCCGCTGCCGCCGCTGCCGCCGCAGGGGGGGCGAGACAAACCCTCGCACAGCCCTGTCTGGTCTTGTTTTCCTACATGCGCCCGAAGAAGAGCTCCTCTGAACCAAGGGCGTTGCAGGCGGAAATGAAAGGCCAACCCTCTCTGTAGACAGAGGTCGCAAGCAAAAACGGAAACATGCATCTTGAAACTGCTTGCCCTTGTCGGGGGAAAGTGGCTTTTTCATCTCCACAAAGGGATTCTGATTCTGCTCGCGGCACCTCAGCTTGAGCATCACCACTGGTTTGATGGCTGAGCAGCCTGCCCTTAATTCAACAGTGCCGGCAGCAGGGGGGCTGGTGGCATCTGCATCAAGGAGGCCTGAACATATCCCAGATCTTTAACAGACACTCTCATGTGCAGGAAAAACCAGGTCAATAGTGACAAAGGCTCTCCTCAACGCTCCTTCGAGGGCAGCAACTTCAACCAACAGCAAGATATTCACAAGCCTCGTTTCTGCGCTGTATGCGCAAAGCAAGTTGCGTTGCAAAGCATGAGTTTAGATCGGATCCATGCAGTACAAAGGAGCTTGGATCCCTCCGCTCTGCATCTGTACAGGCCTACGAAAGGTCGGAGATGGACGATTCACACTACACTTGTGCTCATGCACTTTACTGGCAATGTCAGCATTTTCTATCACCCATCTCTGCTGCACACAGAAGATTTTGTACAAAGGCCTGATGGCTTTTGCCGGGGCCTTCCGAAGATTGGCAAGCCTGCATCATTAGATTGTTTACGGCACGAATGCACTCGGTCAGTATGAGAAGTCACAAATGCAACCACCCGTCTGCAGCTTCTGCACCTCATTCCAATTACTCTCTGCCGTTTCTTGCCTTCTGCACAGCACGTGGATTGCTGTCAAGGCGCTGCATTCTTCAGCTCGTGGTGCCAGGGCCCCGCCCCTGTCCGTCCGTTTCCGGCCAGACGCAGCTCCAGCCGCTCAAGCTTGGACAAGTCCTCGACAGCTCGTGCCAAGAAACGCAGCACCAGGAGATCGCGTGAGCACGTGTGAGCGCCAGGGCCAGGACGCCAACGGCGCGCGCAAGCTCGCGCTCTCCGTGGTCTCCGACGAGATTTCCCCGCAGGTCTGCCACGAGCCTGCAGCTCGTGGACCCCTTCAAACAGCACGAAAAGGCACAGCAGAAGTCTGAGTCTGCACTGCAGCCTGCAAAGTTTTCCCAACGAACCCATGGCACGTGCCAGGTCGCACGCACCCGTATCACCTCTGAATCTCCAAGCTTTGTAGCTTGCAGACACTGGCCGAGAGCTTCCCACCTATACCATTGCCGCTGACATCCATTTCCAAGCTGACCTTGGTGGTCACGCACAGAAAAGCTTTTGAAGGCAGGTTTGACGAACAGCAGGCAGCAGCTGTGACTCGACAACCTTCGGAGCTCCAGGGGGATTGTTGTGAAGTCTTTGCAGTTGTTTTCTTTAAGCAGCGTGGAGTGGCGAATCCGCGCCAGAAACAGGGATCCTAAAACAACAGATGCTTGTCAGGTGTGATTGCGTACAGCAACATTCTTGCAAACGAGCAATGTGCAGGCAGCTGGCTAGGCGGCGCAGTGACGTCAAGGCCTGCCGCAGCCACACATCTACTCAAGCCAGACCTTCATGAACGACAGATGACAAGCACGAGGAAGCTGTGCACCCGGTATGCGGTGCCTGCGATAATTCACGGGCACCTACTTCACGCATGCGGTTCCCAGACGCCAGGAAACGCAGGCTGACCTCAAACACCGGCTGCATTTAATTTAGCCCACACGATACCAAAATACCAGAACACCATTCCTCTGCATCATTCTGCATCGCGACTGCACTCAGATCTTACTCAGGATGCCACCAAAGCTTGTTGCGCTGAGATTGCCTTCACAGATATGACGCAACTATGGCTATGGCCCACTATGACTATGAGCATTCGGTACATGTTTGGCTCGTGGGCAGCCGGGTGAGGCCTCGCCTGTGCTAGGAGTCGTGCCCCTGCAGAACCTGGGGCCAAAGGTAGCATTGTTGCAGAGTGACACTGCCACACAACCAACGTTCGAAATCTTCGAGCACAAGAACCAGGGCAGGCCTACGTGATTCACGTTCAGGTCGAGTGTCAAATGTTGAAGCCCCTGCACGACACAAGGCAACCAAGACTTCGATTCGTTCGCCCAAGGCTATGCAAACTGCGCGGGAAGCCTCCAAGGAAGAGATCGCCATTCCAAGGTCATGAGCGCCTTGAAACAGGGTCAGGAAGCCCAGCACGCATGAGCTCGTGCCTGCCTGGCCAGCCCACGCTGCTGACGCTCAGATCCAGCCTGAAGGAGAAGCGGGAGAGTGTCGGGAGTCTCCAGTCTCCGTGCGAGGCGTCACTGGGCACATGGCTCCAGGTCACGGAGTTGCTGGGAAGTCACGGCATGAGCAATGTCCTGCAGAGCATCCGAGCATCCCTAAAAACTTCTTTTTGGCCGAGCCAGGCCAGGCCCAGCCTGCACGCCAGCTTCTGACACCTCGCTGCTCTCGCTCTCGCTACGCTCGCTCTCGCATCGAGCAGACCAGCAGAGAGGCACTGGCTTCCATGCCCAAGCTTCCGACCGCATTTCTGTTGAGCCCCAGGACAAGGCGAGACAATCTCAGAAAGCAAAAAGGAGCAACTGGCCCACTCGCCGGTGCCCTTCGTCCCAGACTGAGAACATACCGGCACTGAGGCAAATTCAGTCGACATCTTGGGGATAAAAATACCCAAACGCAAGCTAGAGCTGTGCTGCCGACTTCAAGCCACGCATAGCAGCTGCCAGTTGCCGAGCCCCATCCTGCAGAGAAAGCAGTCGTCTCTGCGCCCGGCGCCAGTCTTTGTTCTGGGAGTGGTCAAGGGCGGCAGCACTAGACCATCTGACTCACGCATATGCTAGGTAGTGGACTCTGACGTGCATAAAGCAGCCTCTTTTGCTTGTGGGATCAACGATGGTGTTGAGGCTTCCATAGAGTCTGAAGTGCAGTTGCAGACACCGGTCCATTGAGTTGCATTCTGTTGCTTGTAGAGGTCTGTCGTGAGTCTTCTCCGGCTGAATATGGTTCTCTGACGACACTTGAGCAGGTGGTTCACCGGCGCCCCACGACTGTGGGTTGTCGATGGAGTGGCGGGTAGCGCGCCTCCCCCACTCGGTTGTCGAAAAGCATCACTTCCAGGTCCGTCAAGGAAGGCAACTCCAATACCTGTTCAAGAGATTCCCAAGCACACAATTTCTCGGCCGCAACCCAAGGGCACCACTTGGGCCAAGCATCCGATTCCTGCTCATGCAGAGCGCACCAAGACTGCTTGTCCACAAGTTGGCAATCTGCTTCCGAACCTGGATCTGCGACGCGGTTGCGGTTCAGGTCCAGGACCTTTGAGCTCACGAAGGCTAGAGATTTTGAAACCCTAATCCGAATCCTAGTAAGCCTTGTTCTGGGAAGTCCACCAATTCTCGGAGCTGCCGCAGCGAGCGGACGCACTTCGCGACCTCTCGCAGCCTGGTGAAATGAGCCAAGTACGCTTCTGGGGTTCCGGTGCTGTAGGCCGTAGAGTCATGGAAGATCGGGTCAGTAACAAGGGCTTAAAATATCCTCACTCGGCTACGCACTCTTGGGGCTGGACCCTGTGTCACCGATGTCATTCAAGCTCAGATCCAGCTTCCTTAACTCCCGCTAGAGCCGGAAACAGAGCTCCCGACACGACAGGTTTGGCTTGACAGACGAATCTGCAAAAAAAGAACCATTGAAATGAGACGAAGCGCAATCTATCCAGGCTTTGCAGTGTGCCTATCTCCTGCACCAGTAGTGTCTAGTGTGCCATGGAAGGAATAGCAGGCCACGTCCACATGTCTAAGCTTGTTGTCCTCGGAAAGTTTCTCACATCCTGCATAGCCAAGCCCGGCTCCTGCCAGGTCGGATCGTTATGGCGTCGTTGGAGCGTATCTTCTTGGCATATCTCTTGCACAATCCAGTTTTCATGAGGCCTCCCAGCAGAAGCTCCAGGCTGCGCAGCCGCTGAAGAGAGCCCACTGCCTCCGCATTGACGAAGTTACCACGCTCGCGATCACTAGAGTCACGAGCAGTCTATGATTACCGACAGTCTCTATCTGCTCGATCAGCTTCTTGTGAACTGAAGCCTGTGCCAACTGCCGCGCTCCGTCTTCGCCGATGGAGCTGAAACTAATGTCAGCCTGTGCAAGCTGTGGCGCTCGAGCAATGTTTCGCCTAAAGCAGAAAGTCACTTTCTGCCCTCATCCGCATGTAACATTTAATGCGGCGTAATTATTGTGCCTTCAATTCCTTCAAGCACTCCAGACTCCCCAGAGACTGCGCCAGGGCAGCAGTGACTTCCTTGGACGCAGCGCAGAGAGTAATTTCGTGCAAAGCCCTGCAAGACTACGAGGCGTGGACCGGCTGCAGCCGCTTTCGCCGCATAGCGATCTTGATGCCTCCACGACAGCTGCAACATGCGCCTGTTGTTGTAGCAGTCAGTGGAACCATCTTGCTTCGGTGCTGGGTTCTGCAACTTGCAAAACCCTAGAATGCCCAAACCATTTGGCTTCAAAAGATAGCCAGTTACCCAAAAAACCAGGCAAAACAAGAAGCTGCCACAGTAAACGGCATCTTGAGCACACATGTTGGTTCTGGTCAGTGCTTGGCTTTTGTTTATGAACACTATGCAATCTTCGTTGTGAAGTGGCAGTGTCTTTCAACAAAACCGCATGGGCACAGGGCTTACACTCGCTTTCCCCACATCAGAGAGTTGCCAGGGCTAGCAGCGGCCGCCCTCGCTCGCTCCGAACATGCACAGGCTCCTGGTGAAGGCCACATAGTATGTATTCACCTGTCTGTCATTGTACATAAAATAACAAACATA